TTACTTTTTATTTTTTTAAACAATATTTTAAACAAATCTGTTAGTAAATTAACATATCAGAGAGGTGTATAATAACAAAAATTTACGAAAACAAAAAAAAAAAACTTTAACACAAATTCTGAATTTAATCATTTTGAAACATGTAAATTTAGTGTATTTTGTTAGAAATGTACTAGTAAAATTTGCACTGATATAATATTATACTGTAAGCAATTTAATTAATTAATAAACGGATGGAGAACAATATAATTTTAAAATGGTTATTGTAATGTATTGTAGACAAGCAGATTAGCAAAACAGTCAAAATGCTGAGAAACAGCAAAATAATTAAACAATTTAAAAAAAGTTATTTTTTCTAATTCAGAATAAAATTTGTTTCTTGTTGTTAGAAACAAAATAAGAACTAACTTTGCTTTTTTATGAAAGGTTGCATATTTTGCTTTGAGATAATCTGTTCCTTTGGCAGCGGTACCATTACTTCTTCCGGAGGTACTGGAGTTCGTGTAACAACTTTGTATTCCTGAAAATAACAGGAAAAGTTGTCAATATGGAAATGCTCATTTAAGAAGAAAATATTTAATTAATACTGATGAGTGAACTTTAATTGTATTCAGTGAATATAATAAAATTGATAGTAAAATAAATATTTTCTTCTCAAATGTAAAAAAAAAAGTAAAATGAATTAAAAATTGATATATTCTTTTCGCACCTGAACTCATCGAGCGAAAGCTAATAATTTCGGCATAAATTAACCTAATTATTTAGGTTAATTTAGATTTTTCAAGAAAATGCTTACATTGAGGTAGGTTACAGGTGTAACACCTGAAGCTGAAACGGGCATGTGACCGGAATCACGGTTATGTGATCTTTCGTACTTCTCGTACGTTTCCGTGGACGAGAGAAAATGTGGTGCAGGAAATGCATTTCTTCAAAATGATAATGTTCAGATGGTTTTTATTTGTAATTTAAATTGCAAATAGAAAATACAAACTTGAAAAATGAAATAATGAAAAATGAAGCAATCAGAGATATATTTATTGAGCAATTTTTCCTTTATTATCAAATTAACAATTATGATTGATTTATGGTTCACTAAAATCGTATGCTAACAATAGCATAACATGAATACTAGTGAAGGAAACTGGAAAAAAGCTAATAATAATTAATAATAGAAATTCCGAAAATAGAGTAATTAATAATAGAAATTCCGAAGAAAAGGGTAATCAGTAATATGAATTCCAAAAAAAGAGTAATCAATAATATAAAGAAGAGCGATTGAT